CACAGCCACCACCAGCTGCTGGGAGATGGAGTTATGCTCACAGTGTAGGTGGGAAATAAGGAACATCTCCACATGTGTCTCACTTTAGAGTAGATGAAGTCAATGGCTGAGGTAACTCATTACCCAGTACAAGCTGCAGCAGGCATTGGGGTAACAACTGCCTGTCTGGTATAACCACATGGGTGCCACAAAGCCAAAGAAATTCCTTTTGTGTCCCTTCTCTCCAAGCCAGCCTGCTAATACAATAAAAAATGCACTGGACAAACTCCACAGAAACTCTTCAGATTAACTCCCTCTCTCTCCATTTTTGTGGTCAAGCCACACTCCCTCCAGAGTTCACTTCAACATGACTTTTAGCCATTTGCCAGGGGAGGAAATATCCTGGCTGCAAAATGGTATTACGGCTTTGACTAAGTGGCTGACTGGGAGGAAAATGGATTCATGTGCTCGAGGGGGTTGTCTCCATGTCCTCATAATTGCTCTCAGCCAACGTCGACCATGCTCTCCCCTGGGCATGGTGGGAGCATCTTCTGGTTGACTGGTTTTGTCGTGTTGTTTTGTACAGAGTGGCTGAATGGGTATTTACATGAAAATAGTATTGCTGAGTATTTAGTTCTGACCATTTTGTACTTGGTACAGCCATCTGCAATCAAAATATTTCGAGAATATTACAGATGTTCTTGCATTTCAGTCTCAAAAACTCCTAAAATATAAAACTCTTACATCTGCTTGCTGAAGTTGCCAAACTTTTTCCGCACTTCTGTTATTAAGCAACTCTGTTATTAAGCAATCCTGTTATTAAGTTTAGTGGATGTAAGACATCTTTGTCATGTTCAGCACCGTGTGCCAGAAGCTGGGCAGTCACTGGTGGGGAGTGGTGTGTCCTGGGCACAGGGAGCCTCTCCCCTTCCTCCTGCCCACAGCTGGGCATGTGCCATCCCCTCTGTGGGCATCGCAGCAGGGGAAATACAGGGCTGAAGAGTTGCACTTCTTGAAGGGTGGAAGATTGCTATAGGATCAACCCCATCACAAGGGGCTTTTTAAATAGCTTTTATCATACATAGCTCTCTAGATGACAGAGAGAGGGCGAGAGCAGATCTGAAGCAGAACTGGCCCTTCCTTCGGTAAAAACTAGGATGTCATATTTTCTATAATGGAAGCTAATCATTACCCAACAAAGCAGTATGCTTGGCGGGTGGTTTTTCATTTTTAGCTTTGGTGTAATGTTCCTGAAAGCTAATAGCATCTATAATGTTGTTGCTGATTTGTTTTGCTGTATGAAAGAAAGCAGAAAATAGAATTGCTGTATGTAGGAGGTGAAGATGTGTAGTGCTGCAGTAAGAAAAGGCTGCCACAGTAAACCTGCTGTCCCCACGAAAGCCTGAACGTAATCATGTGGCTTAAACACTTGTGATCTTTAAAAGGCAAGGCGTCACCTGGGTGTCTGGGCATGATGTGATTTTGCAGGCAGGAATCCAGGCAACCCATCCAAACAGCCTCTCTCACTCTCCAATGCACCCTGAATTTAAGTGAAGCTGAGCAAAGCCGAGCACAGCCTTTGAGAGCAGCCCCCACGCCGCTGTCTGGGCTGCACAAATGGGCTGATGGCTGTAGTCTGCCCTCCTCCCATCACACACACAGGTCTGACCCGAGCAGCAGGTGCTCAGGCAGCTGGAGGCCAGGACAAAGCTCTGCAGAGCACCCACCCTGGCAGCTTGGAATGCACCCCTTGTCCTCCTCCTGAGCTTTTCAGCAGTTCTCTGACGTGTTGGAGGGATCACAGCAGTGGCTGCAGCTTCTGTATTTATCAGAACACCACAGTATGCTACAGATCTGTGTCCCCACCAAGCCTCTCCTGCCTGGAACCATTGACTGGGATGGAGCACATGATTACCAGCTACTGCAGATTGTACAGTACAGAGAGCAGCACAGATCACGGAAGGAGTCGGGAGAAAGCACAAAGTATTTGGATCTGTCTGTTTTGAGGGCTGGCTTGGCTTGGAAGCTAGAGATGCCATGGTAGGATTGGCTGGAGAGACAGGAGCACAAAGTGGGGAGGGGGCTAGAGCAGGGATAGGAGGCATGAAATTGGGGTCCTGGTTTAAGTAAGGAGAGGAAGAGCTACAAGAGGAGGGGGAGGATATAGCACAGTTGGTTAGAGCATGGTGCTAATAACACCAGGGTTGTGGGTCTGATCCCCATATGGGCTAGTCACTTCAGAGCTGGACTCGATGATCCTTGTGGGTCCCTTCCAGCTCAGAATATTCTATGAGATCTGTGTGTGCTCAAACTCTGTTTAAAAGGTAAGAGACTTTCAGATCACTACATAGATGAATTCAGTACCTGGATATTTCAGTACCTGTGAAATTACTAGGAAAGGAGAATATACTGATGTTTAGCAGTTCCAGTGCAATAACAGATTTCTTTATTTTACTTCTAGAAAGATGAAGAGCTCAGTCTCATGATGTTAAATAGCAGATTCCACACTTGGGAATTGCCATGGAAAAACACTCCAGCCTTAAGATTCATTTAAACTCAGCCTGATGCTTTCTGTCTGTGCCGCCCCTTTCACAGCCTGCACCTTTCACTGGGAGCTGTGTCATCGTCATCTGAGCTACCAGACCCAAAGGTGTCATGGGGAAACAAACCCACCTTTGAAGATCACACTCCATTCAGTTTTGTGGGTGAGAGAGCCAGGACTTTGAACAGAGAAACATACATCAGAACCATGCTTTTTTTCATGCCAGACAACCCTCACTTCTAATAACTTTATTAGAAGCTTTTATGTGCTAATTTAGCATTCAAGTTTGTCTCTCAGAGATCACATAGATGGGAGGGCAGCTGGATGAGTGTGTGTTTCAGAAGGTGCTAGAGGTTGTGCTGGTCCTGGGTCCCCCAGTGATGCACTGGTGTCCCAAAACCATGGGGGGTGTGATGGGGAACATGGTGCTTTGCTCAAGACGACTGCTGGCTTTGCTTTGAGCTGCAGAATTGCCACAGCTCTGCAGAGCTCTCCCTGCAACGTGAGCCAAGCTGGGCTCTCACCTGGTAAAAGTGACACAGAGACTGAAGTGTCATGAACTTCAGCAAAATTAATATTCTAAAAATCTACTGCAATTATATTCAGGTTTTGATCAAAACAGATACTGAACAACTGCATCCACTTGATTAATAGAAACACTTACTACAGAAACAGACACTAACAATCTACCATTTTACTGTGTCAAATGCACATAATTATTCATCATGGATACTATTTATATACCCACGTACTGCTAAGTGAAAGAATGCTTTCATCCTGGTTTTATCATTTCTAGATTAAATCACAGTTTTTCTATTTCCTTCAGACAGCAGCTCAGCCCCACAATTTTCTCTCCAAATGACAGGCAATTCTTTTAAGCACATTGAATTATTTTTTCCAGGTGGTGGTTCAGTTGAAATTAAATGTTACTCTTTCAACATTGCTCTGCAGTACAGCTCTAGCACACAAAGAAAGATGACAACTTTAATATTCCAGCTAACTTGAAAATCAGGATTTAAACAGAGGACTTTAAATTCAGAGCGTCACTTATTTGAAGTGTGCTGGCAACCGGCATCTCTTTTTCCCTCACACAGGGGTGGAGGGAGCACAGGGAGGAAGGAGAGGCTGCCATGGGTCAGACTGTGCCACGAGCACCAGCAGACAGCAGCTGCACTGCGAGGTGACAGTGTTCATGGGCTGAGGATTGGAAAGGGCCTTGGACCTCACTCCACCAGCTTAAGACTCACTCAGGCTCCACAATCAAATCAGTACTGAAGAGTTGATTTTTATTGTCATTTTTAATCCCTTAGTGGTTTGATTTCCCAGCAGCTGGTGAAGGATGCAGTTACCTCTATCCCTGGCTCTGGTCTCCCAGTGAGCAGAGCAAGGTCTCCAGCTGGCAGGGAAACGAGGGCACCTCCTTTGCATGAGCAGATACTGAGAGGAGATGTGAGGGAAAGGTGAGGAAGGTGTCTCGTACCAAAGAGGCCACTCTGCCATCACTCGGAACTCACCAGCTGTACACCCAATACACACACTCATCACTGCTTGGCTGCAATGACAAAGTGCCCTTTGATCCAACAGAGACTTCACTTCCCCAGTATTAACCTGGCTGATTATTTCATACCCATATTTCCTTTACTTTGTCCATGTAGGTCCAGTTAGAAGCCAACATTATTGTGAAAAACAGAGGAAGGTCAAATTAATCTGTACCAAGCACTAGAGAAACTCATGGGATAAAGCCCAGCAGGAGTAGCCATGTGCTGGGGTGCTCTGCTGAGTGAAACTTGCACAGATGGGTAAAAGATAAAAAATCCAAGATAATTATTTGATAAATGTAGAGCAAATAGCTCAGGTATTTTTGTCTAGCAGTAATCACATGCACAGAAGCACCAACGTTTTACAAAAATCACATTCTGTAATTTCGCAAATTGGTAACAAAAGGGGAAGGAATTATTATTACTAGAGATCAAGGCAAAATAAATCCTTGCTTATGGATCTGCTTTATTAGCCCTTATGTGAGATGCTGCTTAGCAAAACTGTGGCACAACAGTGCCTCCCAATGACCAAAGTGTAACTCTCTCAGGTTCATATATTGCTTGTCAGTATCTCATTTTGCTTGTCTCTGGTATTTTATGCATTATTTCGACCACAACATCTCAGCAGATCTCTCTGCTAAGAAAGCTTTAATATTGAACTTCAAAATTAAAAGACTATCAAAGTATCAGCATAGATATCCCCTGCCAGAATATTCTGTGCAAGCAAATAAAGTGATAGCAAGACCTGAAACATGGCTATCTAAAACCCCAAGGATACCTGAAAATAATGTGTTGGAAGTGTTCCTGTTACTGCAGCCATGACTATATGTCAGTTAATCAGTGTCTCAGTTAAGCATGTGGGTACTACTTTTCTTAACTGATTGCAAAAATAAATCAACAAATAAAATAAACATTTTCTCTTTTTTTCTATCCCAAACCAGGTCCTGATTATTTCAGTTCCAAGAATCTTGCATTGCAAGCCCAGAAAAAGATCCTGAGTAAAATGGCAACCAAAACCATGGCTAACATGCTGATCGATGACACAAGCAGTGAAATCTTCGATGAGCTGTACAAAGTAACGAAGGAACACACAAGAAACAAAAAGGAAGCCCATAAAATTATGAAAGACCTGATTAAAGTGGCAATAAAAATCGGGATCCTCTATCGAAACAATCAGTTCAACCAAGAAGAGCTGGAGATCGTAGACAAGTTCAGGAAGAAGCTGAACCAAACTGCCATGACAATCGTCAGCTTCTACGAGGTAGAGTACACTTTTGACAGGAATGTGCTTGCAGAACTTCTCAATGAGTGTAAAGATCTTGTGCATGAACTCGTAGGTCGACACCTGACCCCGCGGTCCCACGGGCGCATCAACCACGTCTTCAACCACTTCGCGGATGTGGAATTTCTAACTGCCCTGTACAGCCTGGATGGGGATTGTCGGCCGTACCTCAAAAAGATCTGCAATGGCATCAACAAACTACTCGATGAGAAGGTTCTTTGAAACTACGCTCAGAAGCAAGAAACCAAACAAAAACTCCTCTCTAGGACTGGCCACCCTTCATGAGCCGTGGTAGGCAAGCGAGCTTCCTTCCCCTCAGTCTTACTACAGCCCCACAGGGTCCAGAAAGTGCTCACCAGGCTCATGATGAAGTGGAAAACTTAAATCAGAAAGCTATCAATTTAATGTTTTGTTCAGATAATTTAGTCTTTCTCAAGGAGCAGAGTGAACAAGGCTGCTGATATGTGTTGTTCAGAAAGAGATTGCTATACCCCAGGATCTTGCTAGCTTTGTGTTCAAGGCTGAACACAAGAAAAGACAGGAAACTCACATGCATGGCTATGTAAAAATAGACAGGTGAAGGCAAGAACAATGCATGGAATTTATTCCCAGGCCCTTGGTGCATATATTTTTATTATTTCCACAATCCCTGAAAAAGCTTTGACAGAAAGTAAGGCTGTAGTGGATTGAGTTCACTCCTTTCAAAGGGATCAGGAATTAATACGAGAAGACCTCTCTTAATTTAAATGGTATGTAAATCTAATAGGGGAATAACAAATCATACAAACTGAGTAGAAGTGGGAGACAATTTAAAGAACTGCTCTAGGAAGCAATATTTTCATCAGAGTTTTGTTTTATACCTGCTAATAGAGGGTTTCATTTTAATCTTGAAAATTAGCTCAGTGGTTGAAGCTCAAAGGTAACCAGAAAACTGAAGCAGTCCAGCAGTTCCCCCATGCTCAGGGTTTGTGTACTGGGTACCATCAGGCAAGTTTAGGCTGAAGGTTGTGCTGCTCTTTGTGCTCTTACTGTTCTGCCTGACAGAATAAAATACTCTTTGTGAAGATTTTGACATTCCCTTGTGAGAAGCACAACGGACACCATTTCCATCCCGTCCTCAATGTATTCAGCCTCAATACCACTTGTGGTTTAATGTGCCCATGACATTTGTGCCTACAGTAATCAGAGGTGGGATACAACAGGATGCCCATCCACCCTTCTTGCAGTGCCTCTGAGTGTAGCATATCCACAGTAGCTAAACAAGAGCAGCCTTAGTGACTCTGGTGAGCTTCTGGAATGAGTTTTGTTCTGAATGTTTTCAGTGGCTTTTTTTTTTTTTTTAATGTTTTCAAGCTGAAAACATTTTGCCAAGAAAGAGTAGGGTTTGTACAGTCCCTTTAGGATGAAGGGAGGATGGGAGCAGAGCAGATACACCAGCTTTGCCACTTGTAGAATCTGGGTAGGTGCTGACTGACCCAGAGTAAAGGAAGCATGTTCAGAAATCTCTCCTCTCCTTGCCTTCTACATCTTAATCTCCTGCTCTAGCTCCTGACACTGCAGCATCAGGTACCCTCTCCTTTCATCTGGCACAGAGAGCAGAAAATGCCATTATCTAGAGGTAACACCTTCCCTTTCATGTATATATAATACAGAGATGCATGTACTTGAAATTTGACAAAGACAAGAAAATATATTTGAAAGCCATTTCTCTTTTAGGGAAGCTTACAGGGTTGATCACTCACTAGGATAAGAAAAAAAATATTTCATTTAAACTCTTGAATACTATGGTGGTAGAGAAAACTGTTCAAAAACTTTGTTATTCTTCTGTCTTTCCTCACCCCAGATATTTTATCTCTTGCAACAACAATTTTTACCATCACACCTTATTCAGTTGAGAACACACATACCCGGGTCACATATTCACTTGGGTTGTGCGAGATGGATTTGTATCTGTTCCCAGAACTCATTTGAACCACTGTAAAAATGAAAGACAGTAGCAGAGCAGTTTGTAACAATGTAAATTTTCCCCACCTATTTCCTTTAACCATAAAAAGTGTATTTAGTAGCAGTGAAGGTGGACAACTCCTTTGCAAAACAGCAGTGAAATACCAACAGTTGGGGTTGCAAGTTCAGCCATGTGCAGAGCCATATTTACATGCACATTTACCTGCATTTCTTCCAAGCACGTACTTGTCAACTGATGCTTTTGAACAGTATTTATCGTATCCAATGCTCCTGTCCCAGTGCACACACGTCAGATTTTGCGTGTTTCATTTGTGGCAAACACATTTAAGTTCTTTTTTCGAAAGCCAGAAAAAGAGATTATTCAACATTCAAGATGTCCAAAGGAAAGATATAGCCTGTATCTGTGACTTTTTGTGTGTTGCAAGTATCAATATTCAGATTCTGGTATTTTAGACACACCAGCTGAACATCTGTTGTTTTATTTATAAATAATCTGAGTAGCCTTAAAGGAAGAGGTGTTTTCAAGTATTTCTCATACTTGCACATCCTGTATATTCATTGTTTACTTTTGTAGCTTGGTATGTAATAACATTGCTAAAATATGGGCAATGTTCAGGTCACCTTAAGTATATTATGTATTATCACATCTGTGGATTAAAAATGTGTGATTACTGCCTTTTTTGTTTCCTTTTGATTCATTTATTCTGCCATCCCTATTGCATCACACGCACCCAACACCAACACGTGTCAGCAGCAAACAGAATTTCTGCTTTTCCCCAATGTCCTCCAGCACGTGAGCTACCAAACGATGCTGGCTCAGTGTGTTTAGTGGAGCAGCCCCATCACTGAGCTCAGAAATTCCCTCATAAGCCACGGGGAGGAAATGGCACAGACTTCTTGCCTTCAGGTACCACTTCTCCCTGGGCTCAGCCTGAGCCGGTGCCTGGAACAGACACGAGCAGCCTGAGGCAGGGGCAGAGCACACTGCAGGCCAAGATCTCACTATCCTTCTTGCAAGTACCTTCTTGAAAGTTTCCCATGATGTATTTATTTAGCTCAGTTTAGCTCCATGTGATTTAAACTACATGGAAGACACATCCCTGGCAGATTTCAAAGCCGTGCCCTAAACATGGAGGTGCTAGAACCTACCAGAATGTTTTAACAACAGCAGGCACATATTCTCCCATCCTTGTTCCCAGAAAAAGCAAACTGCTTTGGCTGAAGGAGCTCAGGATTTGCAAACAACTCACACGGCAATTATACTGAAAGCAATTAAAGGTTGGCACAAAGAGAAAACTGACAACTACCTTAAAGTCTGAGTTTAAAGCAATCTTCCTAAGTGGTGCTTTGAACCTCCCTGCTGGTGAAGCATTACTGTCAAGTTAATTTTATGAATCATATCATGGCAGGACACAATATTCTTTGCTTCATCACTGCCAGCTTTATGTAATAAAGAGAAAAATGTTAATGTTCAAGAAACTCTCATGGGAGTGACCACTTCTGGCACTCTAATGAAATGGTCCCTGTACCACTGAGCAGCACTTCACACTGAACATGTGACCTGATTTGTGCTAGAGAAATGTTCTTACAGAAGGGCACCTAAATAGCTGACCCTGAAGAGAACCAAGAGGTAAAGCACAATTAACTCTTACCACAGCAACTGAAATGCAAAAGCAACTTTTACCTGGATGACTTAAGCGGATCTATTTCTGTTTTTACATAAATCAATGCCAGAAAGAGACAATGCACAGTCTTACCCACAAAGAAAAAGATAATACAGCTTTTTTGGGCTGAAAAACTACTGGTGGGATTCTATAGGAGATAAATACCTTTCCAATAGGAGATAAATACCTTTCCAATATTTAGAAACCATCAGACAATGTCATTTATGAGCTATTCACAAGTGCAGGAAAACCTCAAGATAGTGCCATCCATTACACAAATGTACTCTTCTAGGTCCTTGAAGGATGAGGAGGATTTGGGAATACCTAGCAGAAAGTAATGTAACACAAAGAGATTTGACCTATATTGAGGAAAATACCCTACATCATACTGCCATGCTGCACTGCTGTCCATTTTCCTACCAAAGTATTTGTTTCATTAAAAATATCTGAAAATACTTGGGGTAAGGAAGGAGAAGCTGACAAAACATTTGGAACATGGATCCAATATAATCACTAACCTGTTGACTCCCAGATGTTCAGAACTCCAAACTGCAGTAAAAGAGTGAAGCCTCCTGGTACCCAGGGTTTGGTCCAAACGTTGTTAACCTGCCAGTTCAGAAAGGTCAGTTTATACTGACTGACCTCTGCTTGCCTCTTGAAACCAAACTTCTTCATGTAAACTGGTTATGTGCTCTCTTCCTTCTAGCCTGTTTCTATCCCTTTCCTGGAAAACAGCCTAAGCCTTCAAGATCTACCAAGTCACACAGAAAAGTAACTGGGAACACCATGGAGGAAGATAGTCACAAAAGGGTTTTCAATACGGAACCAGACGGAAAAACATTCCTTTGTATAATTATCTATGCAGTCATATTTCAGAGACAGCTGGATGATGGAAGAAGATCAGAGGGATTTCCAGCACTGAATTGCTGAGGTTCTCAAGGGCCTGAGCATCCCAGCTCAGTCAGGATTCCTGTTACACACTGGCAGCTTTTTTACACAAACCATCCCCCTGACTTAGACCAGGGCTGCAGCCAGTTGCAGTTCAGTCGTTATGTCCAACTCCCCAAGCTCCCAACTCTACAGCAATGCTTTCTTATGTCAGCATTGAACTTAACAAAATGCTATTCCTGTCAACTATGAATAACAAGAGATACTCAAGTCTCCTGTGATGCCTAAAACCAAAACACACAATCTGGCAGAATTCCAAAAAGAGGGTTGGACAACATAAGCGACACAGAGAATGCTGTTCCAAAGATCTAAAGTGTAGTCTTGCACTCTTCTGGTATCTCCAAGTGAGACACGGGATATTTAAATCACCAATGGACTCAAGACTTCTGTGGTGTTACATTCTTCATCACTGTCCAGATGCAAAGAGAAACAATTAAAATAGAAACTAGTTCTTAATATGCAGAAACACTGCTATATGTGGTGGCAAAGAACATGTAACAAGGATTAAGCTAATTTTTTAAATAAAACTGAATTTTATTAAACTGCAAGAAATGCAAAGATGGTGATAGATTCAGAACAACATTTGCTGGGCAATCCAAAAATAAAGACCAACACAGGTACAATTCCCTGCAAACTCCTTGAAGTGGTTTTAATACCATAAAGCAATTAGAATATTGACACTTTGACATACACTATTCATACAGTGAAAAAGGTTACAAAGAACATTACGTGAACAACAGAAGGCATTGCTGTCTTTTGCTGTTCTTTTTAAACACTAAGACAGTAACATCTCATTGCTGAAATGGTTTGAATGCATAGGCCACAAACAGATACTTGTATTAATAGTTCCTATGATTACAGAAGTCCAATTGCATAACGCAATTTACCAGCAGGGAAATAGTTTGCTGGAAATTATTCCACTATAAATCAGTTTTCATTTATATAAACTGTCTTGAAGTGCCAAGTAAACATTAAAGTATGCAGAACATTAAATATATTTACAGGTTCAGTGCACTTTAAATTCCTCAGTAAGAGGGTACTGAAACAGCAATAAAAACAGCTTTGCTTGTATGATTATACTTGTGATAACACAAGTAGCATGACTTAAAAAAACCCCAAACTATCAGCACATTAACATTCTTAGGACAATTTCATCAACATTTACCAAAACATCAAAGTAACAATACTTTATTTTTCTTTACAACCAGTGCTTATCAGGTGAGAATCAGTAATGCTGAAATATAACAGAGAGTTTCCTTGTTACTGTTAAACACACAAAGGAGAGAATTCCACTGTGGAATCCACTTATACCATGTCTGAACCGTGTGTACAACCTTTGATGCTTTTAAATAGAAAACATGACCAGCTATAAATAATATTAAGCAGTACTAGTTTTCATTTAGCATTTAAATAAATTAAGATTGCTGGATTTTCAAGACTGTGAGGTTATTTCAGGAAGAGAAAACAACCTCCTCAGACACAGTTTCCATGTATACTGCTCTGATTTAATCTCTCATGCCTTGCTGCAGTTCCTAGCAGTGCACGCACAACATCTGTGCAAGTCAAAGGTTTGAGGAGTCATACTGAGCCTATAAATAATTAGAAGAAAAAATAAATGAAAGTTTTCCCCATGTGATTTTTTCAAGGACAGAGATATTGGCCAGATTAAGTTTATAGGGTTGACTGGACAGCAATGAACATGTTTCACTACCCATGTTGACAACCAAGGCCAGCATGTCCACAGCCAAGTACCCCCAGCTCAGTCACCTCAGGCTTGATCCACATCAAACTTTGCTTTAGAGATGCACAAATATTCAGTGACTGTCACAGACCCCTATGGAAAGGGAACATGACTGAAACATGAGGCAGGAAGAACTGCAGACAGGGACTAACCTGAGGGGCCTTAGATCATCCCCCAGGAGGTGCTTCCATGGGATCTCACATGCCTGACTCCTATCAAAAACTGTTTAGATGTTACCACTTCCATGGTAAATATCAAAGATCATGGGAAGTGTTTTGTTCCCTAGAATCTTTTAACTGTTTTAAAACTGTGCATTTGTTGCTACATAAGTTACTTTATACAACCACCAGTATGGGTCTTGTTGCCAACAGTGCTTAAAAATAGCTTTAGAAAAATTACCAAAATAAAATTAGATGATCCTGATAACTGATCAAGTCTGACCCTATAATGGAAATATGTTTTCCTTTAAAATCATATTTAAGTAGTTGCCATGAGAAGTAATCATTGGCATCTATAAAAGCTGCATAATAAAAATAAATACTTTCCGTCATTTACAACAAAATTAAGAAATATACATTTCACTGAAACAGGTTACAATACTTTAATGTACTGTACAGTCCTGAGCATGTTTTTGCAGGAGTAATTTAGGTCATTGCTCTTTTCCCACAAGTCCACATGACATATGCCAGCTGGAAGAAAACTTCTAATACTCCAAGAAGCAGTATCTTAATTTAGCTTTGGTTAATTATCTGTGCAACTGTATAAATCTTTTCACACCCCAAACAGATTAAGGCAGGCACTATTGTTATTAGGATTCCCCCATCACCTTTTGACACTGATAGAGCAAACCATCTGGAAGAGCAGCACAAGGTGATCTGAACCACACAGCCAACATCCCTGAGTGAGTACGGCAGTGCAGCAGGCAGGGCACAGATGGAAGCAGCTGGCACGCCAGTATTCCCTCATTACCTTAAAACAAAAAAGACCACAGAAAAAAAAAAGTAACAAATAACAATTGCTACAGTATACTTCATAAATGTATCTTTCAAACTCCATGTGTGCTGTTCTCTTCTACTCTTCCCTCTAACTCCTCTAACAAGTCACCACAAATCACACTAAAATCCCAGCTTCATATTTGTCCCATAGCTTCATTCCCTTCTTTTTGTCCTGTCCAATACTCTTCATAATGCAAGTTTCCTCCTTTGTAAAATTTACTGTTTGTTGTACACTTGTATCTTTACATCACCTTCACAAAGACCCCCAAGTAAGGCAAACAAAGTCCACAGGAAAACAGTCCCGAGTTTACTGTCCTCCCAAACATTCCCCGCCTCAAACTCTAAGATACTCACTTCCATGCACCCATTTTCGTGGGAAAAGTTGTATATATTATATGTATACCACATATAATATACTTTCACTTACCTATAATGTCAACTACATGGAGTTTCAGCTTCTGTTGCAGTGTGTTCAAGGCTGCTGAAAGGGAATCTTGGGAAGACGACATTTTTATATTCTGTTTCACATCATTGGAAAGGGACAACCACAGCTTTCCAAAGTCTTCTGTAGTCATTTCCATTGGCCTAAAAAAAAGATCACCACATATTTTAGCAAAATGAGATATGTAAGTCACAAAAAAAATCATATCTGGAAGCACCTGGACAACAGAACAAGCAATAAGCAAATTCATGTTAGTTTAAACAAACTCCTCTTAACATAAAAGTTTCTATTCCTTGCTTTAGGTTTCTAAATTTTAAAGGAATAAATATATGGATTTCACTTCAAAAGAAAAGTCTGCTGGAAAAAAGGACACTTGCTTTTTCTACTCCTAAAATAAATGCAGTGTTCCGAAATTAGAAGAATGAGCTTTCTTCTTCCCCTGCAAAAATTGTCAGCCTTTTCATATAATGTTCTGGTCCCTGCACTCAAATCACTTCTTTCAGTTTGACATGTTTACATTATGCCATATTTTAAAACATCATGCCCTTCTGTTCACTCAGTTTTCAGCCTCCTCAAAAACACATTCTGTAATTCAAGGCTATTCTAACCTGCAGCTACCGTCAATATTCTCACTGGATTTGTACTTCTTGCTGGAACTTCTCCTCTTTTTTGGAAGTGTAAAATAACCCTTTATTATCTTTAACAGTAATCTCAGATTAAAACTAGCTGCTCAAGAAGGAGTCTTATATTTTCAAAGTCAATACCCAAATCATCCTGCCCTTGTCTAATACTGAGTTGAGTACAGGTGTTTTTAAAAAAAATGCAGCTTTTTTTATTTACCTGATGAAGTCCATCAGTGATAAAGTTACTGAAAATTCAAGGCGAGTTTCCATCTCTGACTGGTAACTAACAGAGCCAGAAAGAATTCCCTGGGTACAGATTTTGTTCATCCTCACACATTTCTGGCAATGTTCCAAACTTTGAGCTTCAATTACAGGAAACTGGTGGGTGGGACTCTCCAAAATCTATGTGATGTTTTAAAAGGAATATAGAACGTAAGTGTTGCTGTCAAGTTTCGCAAGTGATAAAGATACAGCTAGAAAATTGTGTAAGTGCCTTTTATTTCCATTGATTTTTCTTGGACTATTTGACAAGTGAACAGAACTACTATTTCTCAGCCCTCATGAAGGATAAATCAATAATTAACATCTACAAGTGTTCTGTGAGAAGTAAAACAGTGGTGAAACTCATCTCTGGCAATCGGCTTCCCCCACCTCTGAATAACTGCACCAAGAACCTGAATTCTGTAGTTCAGTCTCAAAATATAAGCAAGCAGCATTTGCAACATACCTCAAGCTATATGCTAAAAGTAAGAAGTTGAGAAATCCTCCCTAATAAAAAGGATGATTTCAAGATTACTCAGCAGTCCCCAGCCTCTCCAAACAAACCAGTAACACAGATTCCATCCATGGTAGTGGTCTGTGTGGGAACTTAAGTGAATTATAAGAAAAAAACAGACATGAAATGCCCACTTTCTAGCAAGGACAGGTTTGATTCAAGTCAGAAAAGGAAAGGAAGGAGACTCCATAACCAATTAGCAGTTCCTTTCCTGCTTAATTCTCTTTATCCAGTTATCATTTGCTGAGTGTTTAATAATTCTGTGTTTCTTCTAGCAAAATCTGTGGATAGTCATGCTGATTGGCAATTCCTAGCCATCTTTCCAAATATTTAAATGAAGTTTCAATCAAGACTCTGACATGCTTTTACCAACCCTAGTTAAATCCCAGATGTAGCCAATGCAAAAAAATAAACTGACCAACTCTTCTGCACCGTCAGCTGAATGCATGAGAATGAAATGTGACTGGTAGCTTTGGGGGAAAGGAGGAGGGAGGGAATCGAAGCAAGGCTACACAAATTTTATGTCAGGGAAGCAACAGAATCACACGGATTTGTTATATGGAGGGAAGCACTAGGAAACAAAGTCAAGGTGAATTAAAAAGGTGAGATGCTAACTTTTAAACCAAATAACACTAAGTTTATATTGAGATTTCTCTCACTGCCCTTCAGAATGTGTGTAACAGCAGTAACCACAAGTTTTAAGGAAATACTTTGGAAAAAGGCATGACTATTACATTAAAGCAAGCATTGCACAGTGAAATGCAAGTGAAAAGCAAGAAGTTCCATGTGCATCTCAAATACAATGGAAACACAGTTTCTTACCTGAAAGTGTTCTGTTTCTTCAAACACTAAGTTCACAGCATTAAGTGCAGAAGTGGTTTTATTGGAAACTAAGACAGTGAGCAACAGAGAGTCATCTGTCCACGCCTTACACAAATACAGAGCTAAGGCATCACTCTGATGAAGTTCCAGTACCTCAGAGTGAGGAAGCTCTTCAAGTTCTTCTGGTAAGGAAGGAACCAATGGTGTTTCACTGGCACTTTCACATTGAGCACTTGGAGAAGGCTGAAAAATTTCAATATTACTATCATCAAACAAAGATGACTGTGACACCCTATTATCTGAAAGTCTGTCATCCAGCACAGACTTTTTAAGGGACTGAGGTGTTTCAAATGCTAAATTATCTTCTACAATATCTGAAGAGCACAGGGAGGCTTTCCTTAACCTTGTGTGTGTACATTCCTCAGAGTCTTCTGTGTTAATAGGTACTTTATCAAGTAAGGGACCAAAATCTGAAGCAGCACTACTTTTGAAGTCTGATGCCTCCTCACTATGTTGAGTTTCGTTTATCTTTGATTTCCTTTTGAACTTCTGGGTAGCTGTGTCTGCTTTCCCCATCTGAAAAGAAAAGAATGGTTCTGTTACTATTAACACAATGAAACAGTGAGCAGGGACAAGGAATCAATACAGATGACAAATACAGATTCCAGACATTTTAATGGATTCCAGCTTTTGTTGTATTTCTTACAGGGTACTGAATTAGCTTATAATGCAAGTATGACTCTAAGTTCTTTTAAACTAAAAGCTCTTAATAAAACTAAGCACAGCTAAACAGTTTCTGGTTAACCAGTGATAAATGCCAAGATGTGAGCTGGCTAATAAGATGCCAGTCTTAAAAAGACTACCTAATGGTGAATTCTTATGTTCCAGATACTACCACAGACATATTAAAAATGGTCTTGACACAGGGTGTCAAGCTCTAGCCTTACTGCCAAATGAATGGCAACAGCTCTGCAAAGCTGGGTCAAGGAACAATTGTTCAGGAAAACTGTGACTTAAACTTGAAGCACAACACATAAACAGAGGGAAGTTCTATCTACCAAACCAGATCTGCTCCAGATGTTGCTTCATCAAGTAATATCCAAGCTGTTTCATGTTCTTAACAAACTACCAGATTGCAAAAGTAATTTTCAGTAGCTTTTCAGTTACTTAGGGGAAATTTGTCTTATCACTAATTTGATCTTCATTTGCATACAAATATCTATAATTTTAGATAAGGTTATATGTAAACTATAAACTGTTAAGTCTCAAAAGAGCCACTTACCAGACTGACACCAGCACTTGATCCCAGCCCAACAAACAAAGTTGATGCTAACTGCTGCTTCTCTTTGTCTTCCTCAGTGAGGCTGGCACCTTGATCAGACCTCAACACAGGAGGGTCACCTGCCTGTCCTGCTAATAAACTGCCACAAGAAACTGTTTGTGGCTCATTTTCTTTCCCTACTTTTTCTTTCTTTGGAAGATAACCTTCTTTTCCCCACAGCTTACGTACTCCCTCAAGTTTCAGAGTATTTGTCCTAAAGAAGCAAACAAAACAAAGCAGGATCAGCCAGATGAACATCATGTTCTTAAAACCACACCAATACTCAAACACCATTCACAACTTTGGTACTTTGATAGACACAGTGAGCAGTGAAATATAAGTGAACACTTGCATCTGCATGAAGTTCTATGTTAGTAATGTTACATTGCTTTTAAAACATCCCACAAATGTAAACCTGGACTAGGCTATACAGTACTTAAGTACAGACCTATATTAAGTAAGCAGCATTAAACACCTGCAACCAGTAGTACACTCTGTTTGCCACCTCCACTCAGAGTTTCAGACTACATTTATAATATATTTGAGTAATTTTTTAAAAGGTAAATATAAGCAACATGGTATCTATCTTTCTCCCCAGGAGAGAGGTTCTGGGAAGACATTTTCCCATAAAGATTCTGAAAAGGTTTCCTGCAACCAATTTACAGGACTATGAATTAATTTTTTAATTTGTACGAAGTTATGGACCTGGAATAGTTTGTAGTGTTCTAAAACTTACACTGCAAATCTTAGCCTCACTTTTATCTAAAAAAAATTTCCTTAAAAGGCACATTATTAAATATTTTTTCCTCTGTCATCTTTTTCTTACAGGTTACACTTGTTTTTAATGGGAATACGATAAATTAATTATCAGGTAATCTTGTCTCCATTTTACTGCATCTACTACCACCTAATTTGTAATCTGTGAAGAAAGTGGAAAAAGAGTCTAACCACGTTGGTTTTTCTAGTAATTATAAAGATGCCACTACCTGAATTTCTTTTTACATGACAGATGTAAAGTTCAACTGCATTCTTTCTAGTTCCATGTAATGAAGCAGCAAAGACATGATACTGACAACAAACAGAAGCTTAAATGTGCTTCATTTCAAACAGAGATTTAACTCACTCTTTGTGCCCTGTCTCAGCACTATTACCAGATGTATCAGAACCAAAAGATAAACCAGTGGGGGACTGTCTGCCGGTGACACCAGATGAGGACACACTTGAAGCAAAGGACAATCCATAAGGTTCAAAATTCAGAGCTGCAAGACAGACAATCTTATAATTACAATGAGGAATAAAAAAAAAAGAAAAAAAGAGATGTATTAAGATACTATTACTTTAAGAAAATGTATTAACTGTAAACTTAAATTGTTAATACTTAGCAGGTAATTTACCAGCTATTAAATAAAGGCTGCAAACTTTCACCTTTTTCCTGAGAAAGTTTCTCCTCTTGCCTCTGGTGATGAGGTTTATATGGTGCTGCCCCACGACCAAGTCCTTCGGCCACAAACCCATCCAGAAAAGATAAGGAAGCATCTACCTACACAGAATTAAAAGGAACAAAAAGGCAATGAAAATATTTGCTTTATCTGAGCCTGGTATTACCAGTAGAATATTGCGTCTTATCATCAGATCAGGATCTTCACTCTCTCATCTCCCATATCTACCAGTAGAGCTGCTGTATTAACAGCAGTGGTTCAGCAAGTATGTTGAAGCAGACTTTGAGCTAGAGATTTGTAACTTAACTCCTCCACTATTTGACTTCTATATTAATTTATAAAAAAAAAAAAAAAAGAAAAAAAGCAGAGTTGAATCTTCCAAAAATGGTTGATACTACCATTATATGACAATACTGAATTCAAACAAACCCTCTCAAAAACCTCAGCAATATCAATCCTCTTTTCCAATATTTTTTCCAGTTTAGTATTTCCTAAGTAGGAGAAAACCCTATGGATTAAAAAGCAGTACTATATCACTAAAGCAGGCCTACCATGTCTTGAAAAAAACCCAAAAGACAACTACAAATAAACCACTGCATGAAATGATCATCTTGTTAAAAGCAACTCCAGCTTACTTAACACTGTGGTTCTTTATCTTTCAGTACAGAACATTATGATTCACCACATAGGCCTGAAAACGTGTTTCTGAAAACTCACTTTAAGCAGACATAACTAACACCAGTCAGAACTGCAAATACCATTCATTTTGAAAACACGTTTTTACCGAAATATTCAACCCCCTGAACTACAAAGAGGTTCATGCAAAACAAACACTGCAGCTGTCTTACCACCATATCATTGCAACTAGCATCAAATGGAAGCAAATTTTTCATCAGTGCTTTGTCTTCACAGAGATGTTTCAATTCAAAGGCATATTGTCTTATGCAGGTATCTAGAGAGCTGCTAAATTCTTGGATTAGTTTGTCAACTGTTTCTGAACAGGAGGTATGTGATGCTATCTTGGTGACTGCAGCCATTATCCACGCTTTAGTTTCAGAAATAACATAAGTCTTCTTCAGCAGGCTGTGTAGTTTTGTCAAAATAACTTCTGGATCAACATCTGTAACAAGACTGAAATATTCTCCCAACACCTATTCACAAAGAACAGACAAAATATGCATTTAGTCACACAGAGCAGTGCTTTCAGTTTTGAAATTAGAATGTAGTACTAAATAACACAATAAAATCCACCTCACGTTCAAGAAATTATTATTTTAAACATCATCTAAATTATTTCTTTACCATTTTGTGTTTTAAATGTCAAAGGCTTGAAGTTAGCTTTGTGTTTACCTCAGCAGATTCCAACTTTTAGCTTCTTAAAAATCCAACAGCTGTTGGGAAGAAAGCTAAACATAACTAGGCCCTGAGAAAACACAATTTGCTCACACTGCAGCCTCTCCCTTGGGTGGAAGCTGAAGCTTACTCAGGTACCAGATAATACCAGCACAGCACCTGGTCAGGCTAAAAATGCATTTCAAAACCACATCTGGCCTAGTTCTGATGAAGACAGAAAGGCTCTCAACATGCAGCCAGGTTCAGGTGGCTGCTAAGCCATTCCAACAGTCACCTCCCTTAAAGGAAGCTTTTCTACAGCTTTTCTACAAACTACAAGCAGTCCTTGGTCACCAAAGAGGTCACTAAAATAGGATTGCAGCATATTAGCTTGATTTCAAGTAAAAAAAAAAACCAAAAAACTCATGACTAAAAATACAAGAGTCTAATAAATATTTATTAAAAACATCACCACCTTAGACAGTTTCCTCATATATGGATTTTGACCATGTGTCTACCTTACCCAACTCATAACTTGAAGGAATTTCTGTGGATACAATGCATCTTCCTCTCCAAGTAATGATAAATAAGACTGCACTGCATACATCCGTAGCTGATGATCCTCCTTTCCATCATCAAATCCTAGACAGAAAACAACATAAGATTTCCGTGAAACACAAATAACAAATCCTACCAAATATTCTGAAGTACATTTTAAGAAAAAAACCCAATTATCACGGAACATGTCTGATTCTTCAGAGCATTCAGGGAGTTGCTCACCTTCAGCCAACAGCCTCAGAAAGTTGTTTGGGATATCGGGATGCACAACATCACCTCCGACTGAAAACACAGCATTCATTGTCTGGATGAACCACTCGTTGTTAGGAGCATATGTGTCCAGATGTTAAGGAATGAAGTGCTAAGGCACAACTTTATGTTTCTTACTTGTGTGTTTCCTAAGGAACACCCATCTTAATCTCCCCAGTAAGTTGGGGATCTGATGGTCAAATACCAGCTCAATCTAACTGAAGAGGAAATATTCCTGCATCTTTCAGAAAGCATTTCCCATAAATTTCATGGGAACTGGTCGTCAGGTAGAGAAGTGTTAAGTTACTGCCTTGTTGAAAAAGTTGTCAAGTAGAACTCACACAGCAGGAACAGACATGTTGACATACGTGAACTACTCTATTTTAAGCTCACACTTGTCCCCTGCTGGGCTTCCAGCACAATCTTTTGAGTTTGTTTACCCAACATCACTTGATCAATGACAGAAAAGCTGTTATTTTCAGCAGTGTTTTGCTGTTGACTTACAAATTTTATGAAAACAATGAACATTTTGAAGCACTCCACAGAAAGCATTACTGGCTTTTTAAACGCATTTAGAAGTTTTTTAATATATTTAAAATTTGATCAGCCTTTGCTAACTTTGAAAGTTAGCTTCTGCCTTCCCTCAATCAAGTCCTGAAAATGTAGTTACTGAATAGACATTTTCAACAGTATAGAAACATTGATATTGCCTTATTTTTGCATACAGCAGGACAACACAGCTTTTTTTTGTACACTACTCTGTTCCAAGCAGTGTACAAATAGGATGGTAAGGTAGCTTTCTGTAAAAAGCACTTACAACTCAAATTATCAGACAGAAATGCACACAGAAAATCATGCAATGGCAGGTCTAACATGCCAAATCCCTAGCCAGTACTTCCATCTTTTTGGCATTGTTAAAGAATCTTTTCTTTATTTCTATCAAAGTGTGTTATTCTTCAAATCCATATACCAGTGAAGAGTTAGTTCTCTGATAGAAGATCATTTCCACAATTACAGAATAGCACTCCCTCCTGCAGTAGTGTAAGACTTCCTAGTTTGAATTTAAAAACACGAGGTTTTAATGCTAAACTCCAAAGCCAAAATAAAATATTTTGAGTGCCATTACTTTCTCTCAGTGAAATACAAGAAATACAGCAGTCATGTTTGTATATGTTTCTCTTTTGCATGCTTTTTTTTTTTTGAAAGAGTGGAAAGCACAGCTGTAACACTTCCTGTTTCAAAAGATCATGAAAGATGCTTTGAAAGGTATAAATGTTACATATGCCTGAGCTCTGACTTCAAAGTTTCAGAAAAATAAAAGGATATTTCTCAGCTAGTTCAGAAAAATAAAAGGATATTTCTCAGCTAGTTCAGAAAAATAAAAGGATATTTCTCAGCTAATTCTGCTACTTTGGCAACTAGGTTGATGATAGCATATTCTTCTTTACTTTCTTTTAAGTAGTCAAGCATCTTTTGAACTATGACAATGACATTCTGTCCATTTGTAATCCTATAGAGAAGCTCTAAAGTCTGCAAGAGAAAGCAAAAAAAATCAATTGGTTCTGATGACACAAAAAAGGAAGCAGACAAACAGTAAAATCAGTATGATGTCAAACTGAGTATCTTGACTTAGCAAGTTTTAAATGAAATACACTGATTACCTACACAGCTTGTCACATTAATATTCTTTTAACTAGCCTCTAACAATAACTGAAAAATAATATCCCTTTTACACTACTAATTTCAGAAAAACTATCACCCATCTTAAAAATTAACTTAATTTTTGACATTTGGACATTCACTCACCTCTCTTTTAATAATGGGATCTGGATGGTCCAGACATTCAATTATTGTCATCTGGTGCTGAAGGGCCAGATTAGGATCCTGCTGGATAACATAGGTCAGAGCCTTTAAACCTAGAATGTGATTGCAAGTGATAAGACAATGCATACTACTATGGTCACATTCAAAACAGCATAATGAAATCAGGCAGCCTTACCTAAGTACTTCAAATTAATTTTGGGTGACAAAACAAATTTTCCAATGCACTTGGCAGCTTTTTCAAGTAGTTCAGATTTGGGATAAATTGTATAAATTGTTTGGACACATTCAAATAAGATGGCTGCAAGGGGGGAAGACACATTATTAGTGTGTATTAAATACTTCTGTAATTCAAAATTTTTTTAACAAACAAGCTCAGTGACTGTCTCAAGGAACTGCAGTGCTGTCCCACCCCCACTGAACTGAATCACAGAGTACCCACTGACAGTACCTACAGCCTGTCTCTTTTACTATATACATATTTTTATTAGCCCTTGCCACTGTCCATACAACTTTCTGCCCTTAAAGTTCTTCCAACCTTCAAGTCTCCTATAGTTGCTCCAAGCACTGGACTGGAACAGTCTTCAGAAAGCCAATGGGCAACTCTTAAGGATTTGAGACAAAATCTTTTCTGATAATTCATATGATGTCTTAGCTTCTAACAACAGCCAAAATCATCCCAAGAACAGCCTTGTTAAAAAAAAAAAGCCATCCCAAAATCAAAACAAAAACCAAAAAAAAACTTTGTACAGTTCTTTTAGAAAAATCTAGAAGTAAACTGAACAACACACAAAAAGTAATTAATCCTTTGTGGCAACAATCTGGGCAAAGATTCAGACCAAGTCAGTCTCCCAAGTTAATTAGGGCTTAAAATCATGATGTAATTTTCAGTTTTTCTTGTAATTCAGTAGTTCAGTAACTGAACTGTCCAGTAGACAACCCCCTACTTTTAAAGTGTTACAAAACTAAATCTGAGGAAGAGTAGCATATCAATAACTCAACGGAAAGAAGACCATGCAATAATCAATTACTTCATATAAGAAAGTGTAATCACTCATAACTACATTTTTCTTTTGTCTGGATCAAATGGTTTTAAAGAACACTTAAATCACTTGTTCTACTATTTACTAGTAGGACATTCAAGAATATTATTAAGAAAATAATTAGATATTTCTAAAGCACTAAGTAAGTATTTTGGCACAATCAACTACTCACAATTTTCCATCTTTTCAAAGACTGATAGTTACAGAAAATAACCTCACCCACCATATGTAATATTATGATTTATCTCTGCTCTTCTTAAAGATTCATCTAGAACATCATACATCAATTCACTTGTCCTGTTTAAGAAAAAATATTTAACATTAATTGCAGCACTAACAAGCATGTGATCTTTTTTTGCCACACAGCTCGAAGTCTAGTATAGAAATTGGAACATTATTCATATCCACAAATTCACTTTAACACAGAGGAGCTCTATAAGATGAGCCTAAATGGCATTTAACAAGATATTTGCAGCTTTCAAATAAACATCTACCATATCACAAGAATGAAAACACTTCTCTTACTGTTGGTATAAATAAAAAGAAAAGATCAACAGGAAAAGGATCACAGACAACTAGGTCCTCACAAAATGGCAGCACTTTTAAAATAGCTTTACTCTGGATTTTCATACAGTTATTTGGTAACCTTGTAATAGAAGTCCCAGCAAAATATGTATTTTAAGCATATTCCACAATCAATTGTTTAGCCAAACAAATTTTGCAGAACTAGTCTGCTCACTGTCTTGATTAATAACAAATGTATAAGAACTTCGACGCTGAAATCCTCCTAAAAATTACCAACCAAGCAAACCCAAGCTCTCTGTGAGGTTCAGGCTGTGACTGTACTCTTTGTACCTTCAAATTATTAATTACAGAGAAAGATTTGGTTACCTTGGATCATCTTTTCCTAACAGCCCCAATATTCTTAAAAGCTGAATTTGTAACCATGGTGCTGGCACACTGTGATAGTTGAAGTCAGAAGAGAGCTTTCCTCCCACTACCTGCTTCAGGATGGTTACAAAACTCCCAGTCAAGTCCTTGTATCCAGACGAGTTTTCCTACACAATGAAGAACAAACACAATTCAAACAGTTTGATACAGCAACTCAAAAGTAAAACCAATCCAAAACTTGTGTAGGATCAAAATATCTGTGCTGGTGGTTCCATTACTTTAAATTAAACTTCTACTCTCATTCCCCCACACCCATAAGCTCTTCACTTTAAAACTATGCTCTTTTCTCACACATTTGGAAAGGGAGCAGATGTAACATATTCACAAGCAAATTCCATCAAACCCTTAAACACACTGTAGAGCTGAGATCCTCCAGGCAAGGATCCAATGATGTTGAGCATTCAGATCATGCAAGAAGTGGATCTAAATGGAGAGCTGGCATAAACAAACATAACACAGATGCCCATGATCACACAAATTACCTTTTCTAATGATTACAAGTAAGTTTTGTCTGCAAAACTTCTGTACAGCACCCTGTGGATTTAAAATGAAAACACATAAAAATATCTCCCAAGTTCAGTTGTGCTTCCAATTCTTTGCCTACCTTAATCATTTGAAGATAAATATGCAGAGAAGCAGCCATGACTCCAGCATCCCTGTCACATAAGGCTTTCCGGAACTTATCGTGGATGTGCTGAACTTGGTTAGGAGCGATGAGATAGAATTTATATAAAGCCTGAACAGCTTTTCTTCGGATAATTTCCCTGAAATGAGATTTACACTCAGCAAAACGAAGCTGCTTGCGTATTTTAAGTACTTCACAAAACAACTTGCACATTTTATTTCTAGAGCACTGTAAAATCAAATGGCCAGCCATGATTTGCAGAGAGACGAAAACCTGTGTTTTACATATTTGGTAACAAATGACTTGGCAATACTACCTAAGTGAGGAAGTGACAAAGCAAACTTTAAAGCCTAGTAGGGCTTGATGTCAGATTGATTATTCAAAAGAATGGCCAGCAAATAAACAATAAAATAGGCCATGACTAATCCTTTGTGGTGGTATGTGCAGCTCCAAAAAATACATGTCTAGAAGTTACTGAGTTGATTCTACAGTTCTCTTTCTAATCAATAAAACAATTACAGTATTATCCTCTGTGTATGGGATACTATAAACTAAGATTCAAACAATATTCATATCTGTGGATATACTTTTATCAAAGTTTCTATAAAAAGCTTTATTAAGAAAAAGTATCAGTAAAGTTCAAGGATCCTAATCTGTTTCTCCACCTACTCTACAAACACTTCTTCATCCCTATTTATTAAAAGGACTCCAGGAAATAAATTCAATTACATTTACCTATGAAGACTGGCTACGAAAAAAATTAATACCCATCCAGTACTCAGTCAAGGCTGCAAATAAACAAAATTACAATCCAAGAGAAAAAACTAGGAGGAACAATTTCCAAAGGTAATGATTAGAAAGACCAAATTAGAAAAGACACACCAGTTTACTAAAACTACCTACAAAATTAAGTTATTCGACCACACAAGGCCATTTGAAATTCTGTAAATGAATACATACTTAGAGTGCTGGAGCTTGTCTTCTATTAGGGGAAGAACAGCTGGAATCATTTCCCGTGGAAAGATCTGGCTGACAACGGTTAATGCCATGCAGACCTCTACTAGGTTAGTGCTCTGTAAGTCCTGAAATAAGACAGTAATTTTTTACTCAGACTTTTCAATTCCACACAGACATACCCCAAATCTTTCCCAAGCAGGTTGGATCTAGCCCACCTACACAGCCCAGCCACTGCCAGCATCCTGCTGTCTGCTCATGTTTGAGATGTGTCAGCTCCCACTGAGCTCATCAGGTTCTCACCTTCTCTTATGCAGCAAGAAGGAACAGGCATCTCCTCACACTGGTGTTACAGAGAAGTGTACATTTAAAATATGAACGTAGCATTAACACATGGAGCTACAATCAATTTTTGTTTACTCAAATAGTTGGATGATTGCAAAAATATATTGAGCCCCCAGCTGGATCAGGGGGATGAGTCACTCACAGAATTCAACAGTATTCTCTCTAGTGCCTTTGACTGAGCTAAAAGAATTAAAAAAAGAAACAAGCAAGCTCAATAATACTGCCAATTACGTATTTGTACACTAAAATACTACCTACTCCCTAAGAAGCAAATGCAAATTACATGTAGCATTCTACTAAAGAGAGAATAAAAACTCAATCTGTTCCAAATACAATTAAAACTAGTAGATATAGCTCACTGTAACCTTAAACCAAAAAAGGATGGATGAATTAAGGAAACGCAAGACTACAATTATTTTTCAAAACAAATTAAATGTGTAAGATTTCCAGTTGATATAACTTGCTCTGTCAATTTGCCCCAGATAGGTTTTAGTCCTCATTTTGGTTTAATTCTTTGTGGATTCTCATTTTTTACCTTTTTCTACACACTTAGGAGTTTCAAGTCATATTTTTAAATATTATAAAACAGTTTTCAATCACAGCAACAAAATGAGCATCACTTTCAATCTATAATTTATCTGACTTTGGCCTACTGCAATATAAAAGTAACCATTACACAGAAGAGTTGTAATATAAGTCTTAACTGCTCCATGTAAGAGAAAGTAATACAGAAGACAACACCTATGAAATATTATTAGGTAATAGATTGTCAGTGTCAAACTCCAAAGCATATTTCTATTTTCTGTCAAAGTTATCATAAGAATTCAAAGAAGGCAAGACGTACTTGCCATCACCTAAAAGCAAAAGCTGACATTGCAGTATGCATGCATGGCTCCTCCTGGAGTTGAGGTACATAGTTGGTACATTTTATAAAGGCAAGTTTATAGCATATCTCCTTTGAAAAAAATTTAAAACATGGCTTTGACAGCAGGAATGCCAAGATTAAATTAAAAAGACAGGAAAAGCCATTTCAAGTTTTCATTGCTAACCAAAGAAACAGCAACTTAAGAGAGGAAGATATAACTAATTAGTACATAACTTAGATATTGTACGACAAAACAGGAAGAATTGGTCCAAGTTTAATTTACAGAACCACAGAATTGTTTAGGTTGGAAAAGACCTTTAAGACCATCAAGTCCAACCTTCAACTCTGCTCTGCCAAGTCCATCATGTCCTTAAGGCCACATCTACATGTCTTTTAAATCCCTTCAGGGATGGTCACTCCACCACTGCCCTGAGCAGCCTGTTCCCATGTTTGACAACCCTTTCAGTGAAGAAGTTTTTCCTAATATCCAATCTAAACCTTCCCGGTGCAACTTGCCGTCATTTCCTCACCCTGTTGTTTATTACCTGGGAGAAGAGACCAACCCCCCTGAGCCTCCTTTTCTCCAGGTTGAGCCCCCTCAGCTGCTTCTCATCACAGTTGTGCTCTAGAGTACTTGCACCAGCTCCTCCAGTCCCCTGGGTGGATCCCACCCATCCCACAGACGTGTGTGTGTCTCAGGGGTGTAGCAGCTTGCTGACCATTTCCCCTTGGATTCATTCTGCTCCTGTCCTGCAGCTCAGGGACTGGGTACCCAGATAACTGGTCTTACCACAGAGACTGAGGCAAACAAGGCTTTAAGTACCTCAGCCTTTTCCTCATCCTCTCTTACTATGTAGTCCTCTCCTTCTTCCAAAGGTTGTAAACTCTTTTTTTCCCCCCTCAGTTCCAGATAAGGCCCTTTGTTCAACCAGATCTTCTTCCCTACCAGCTCATCTCTTGGCACATGGGAACAGCCTGTCCTGTGCCTTTAAGATTTTCCTTCTTTTTTTACCTCCAAAAACACTGTACCTTCACAACTGTGTTCACAAGTAGAAGCAGCAGCTCATGATTTTCATGTAGAAATAGAGAAACTGCCAAGTAGCCTATAAAAGAAAGCAGCCTCCATTACTATTTTCAAGCAATAAGCAAACTGAAGATAGAAAACTTAAGACTGTAATACAAGAGTTAAACAACTATAAAAACTCAACGAAAAAAACCCAGCTGGATGACAGTTGCCCATTTTTAAATACCAAGACTTTCTTTTATTTCCAGGCAAACCAGTTATATTCAAGTTGCAGTAAAGCTCAACAACTAACAGCTAAGAATTCCTAAGTTGTGAAAAGTAAGAGACATAACGATAGTGTTATATCTAAAGAGCAGTCAAGATCATCATGAGAAATCACTTCCTAGAAAACCAGTATCTTCTCTGCACAGAGCAAAGTGTATTACTTTTAGACTACACAAAAAGTGCACTGCCATATGTTTCTCCTTTTTTTCAAATAATAAAATTTCTTTTCAAACAAATTTTCAAATTGGAATACAGAAGAGTAAATCCACCACCCTATGCCAAAAACTCCCTTGTTATTTCTTAACAAGGAAGAAATCATTCTATAACCCCAGAAGAGAAACTTGCTAGAAAGCTTTTTCTTCAAGACCCCTTTTCCTTTTAAACTAAGGGACTTTAGTGAGGGGTAGGGAGAGTGTGCCATAACTCACAGTAATAGCTGTACTACAAAGACAGATCTTACAGAATTCTTGGTTCATTCAGGGTTTAGGGATCAAAATTAACAACTTTGATATAAATCACTGTATTGTCTGGGCTATCAAATTGACCTACCTGCTTATTAACCCAGGGCTCTGATCAGCTTAGCACACACACAGAAACAGAGTTCACTCTCATGAATGGAGGTTCACATTGGGTAAACAAATAATCCCTTGACCAATTCAACTGACAACAATTCCTCAATACAAACTTTGGTATATTGCACCAAGAACCGACAAGATCATCCTCTGTATCACATATAATGCAGAACAACAACAAAAAAGAAACCAAACCCCCCCACACACTCTCAATAACATCCTTTTACCAGATCAAAGCTGAAGGGCACTTTCTGTCTGGAGAATTCTAAAGCCACCTACATAAAAAAAAAAAAATGTTGCTTCACCAAAGCTTTCTCCAAAAGAGCCCTAGTATGGAAAGGTCTCAAACCTATTAATAACAAGACATGTTGGCTCTTGACACTTAGAGAAGCTTTCTTCAAAACATCTGACAACCTGCCCTCCCAAGTTTGGTGAAGACAAAATTTCTCAATCCCTACCAGGGCATCTGTACACTGGCTTTCACTATTCAGGGGAAAGCTTTAATTCATCACTTGTATTCTCTCAGAAACTCCAATACTTGGGTAGATGATCCAGATGAAATTCAAACAAAGGATATCAAACAAGCATATCCTGCAAGACATTGCCTTCCTTCTGTGTATGCAAACATGGTATTGCTTGAAGTTAAACCATTTTCTCTGCAAACAAGAAGAAATGTCTTCACTAGGCAGCTGAATCAGCAACTGCAAGGAAATTCTCCAATGAGACAGGCTGAAAGGTCCCTCAAATTAAATCCATTGGAAACAAGTTAATAGCCACACTGGCAGGCAAGGAAATCCCAGTGGCATGGAATTTCAAAGAAATCTGAACTAAACTTTCAGACTTCCTCAGGAACTTCTGCCCCTATGCTATAAGGATCTCCCTATTTGCTTCATTCCCTACAACTGTTTCCAAAGTAAAAAAAAAAAAAAAAAAAATCCTACAAGCACCAAAATAGAAAATGTGTCTGACAGATGACCGACATCACCATCTTTATCTAATCTTGTACTGTAGTACTTGAAAAAAAACCCAGAGCTTGAGAGAAATTAATTCTCTGCTTGATTCTCTTAAATTATTTGTTTACTGGTGCTGCAATTCAACACAATGAAACTGTGATGATTTAAAATAAAATTCATTTCCCCTGCCTTCTGTGCTTCAAGCACATACAAAGCATCACACAAACTAAGGATTCAGCTAATTTCAAAGATTAAGAGACCATGAAATAAGATCAAGAAAGCAGAGGAACATTTTAAGTAAGTTGTATTTTTAGATGGATTATAAATCCTGAGAAACTTCAAAAACAGAATTTGAGAACATTATTAAGGCTACAGCTCCATGCACATACCAACTCTCTTCTCCAAAAGATTTCCTTGCTGTGCAAGCTTGATTGCATGGATATATCCAAAGGAAGACTCGTACCCCAGCATTTCACAGTAGATGAGTCTCACCATACATTCTTTCATCAGTTTCTGAAATAGCAAATATAAATTATTGAGAATTTTAAGTCAGCCATGTTTTACACTCTTCTTCACTGCTTTAATGAAGCAGAGAACTGTATCTGACAGAAACATATCTCCATTCACATATGTTTTCTAAAATCAGGGTATTCGTGATTTTTCTTTGCTATGAACCTCTTCTGAAAAATCAATATTAATTTCTGCTATAAAGGCAGAACTTCTAATATATGACACTTAAAAAAATTCTTATTTTAATTAGCATGCATGTGATCAACAGCACATTAACTATGACCAACATAAAGAATATGTATAACCAGTAGCGTTCAGATGATTACATTGTTAACACAAATTATTTTTCACCAATTGCTACAATGACCCAGGATGGTTTCTCACTATGCATAGATAAAACCTGATTTTTTTCCCCTAAAAAAGGTCTCCTGTATGGGACTGAGACAAGCATTAACTAACTCAAATCAGAATATATCATCTCCCAAAACTCAGACACAATAACAGTGCATACATACAACAAAGCACAGCTTCTTACAGAGCACAAACTAATTATAAGAACAACGCAAGCCTGCAAAGAACATGATTTGATGGAAGCAGTTCATCTGCTTTGTTTCAGAAACTACAGAACGACAGATCCTTAGTGCCATACTCTTACAGTTTACTCACATCAAGCAGAATCTCAGTGTTATCACTATTTTAAATGTGCTGCAAAACCACACATATCAGTATCTTTTAATGCTGATGATTAAAGATCTATAATGCAGATAACCTGCACATCCATCTAGAAAAAACAGTGAGAACACTGCTGTACTTCACCTTTGGTGTGCTGTTCCCATAGCCTGTAATAACCACTAACAGAACTTACAAGTGTTGTGGTGGGGGCTGAAACTGTTGCTTTCAAACTGGTTAGTTCCTGCTGGATCAATTTTTCTTCTTCCTAGAAGAGAGAGATCAAACCTCGCACACATTTCGTAGGTAACAAGAACCACAGAAGATGTGTTAATTTAAGTGTCCCACACTCTTCCCAAAGCAGCGGGTGCCTCGCTCAGGGGCTGCTCAAGCACAGCAGTGCGGCCGTGCCTGCCCACTCCGTGCCCCCAGAGGCAGCACAACGCGGCACGGCAAAGACTTATCGCGGGGTCCCGAGCTCAGCCAGACCCAGGTCGAGGGGAGACACCGTGCCCGGGGCCCCCAGCCCAGCCCAGCCCAGCCCCGCGCCGGCTCCCCGGGCAGGGAGCGGAGCCCGGCCCCCGCAGCCCGTACGTGCTTGGAGGTGAGCGCCGTGATGCTCCGGATGAGGCTGCCGAGCCGGGAGGTGGCCGACACCCTGGCGGGGCCGCCGGCGCCGCCCGGGCCGGTGCCGGGGTCGTGCTGCCCCAGCAGCCCGGGCAGGGCGCTCAGAGTCCGCTCCACCACGTCGCTCATGCCGGACCCACCGCCCCGGAAGAGACGGGCCCGGGCGGCCCTTTCCGGGGCGGGCCGGGGGCGGGAGGCGGCGCCGCGCCCTGAGGGGCGGGGGATCCGCGGGCCGGCCCTCGGTCCCCGCGCACCGCCCCCGGCCGGGCCGGGAGGTGGAGCTGCAGCCCCGCGTTCGGAGCGGGCTTCGGGGGCGCCGCCGGGTGTGCCGGGCACGGAGCCATCGCCGCCGGAGCTCCTGCTGGCAGCATCGCGGAACAAAGACATTTAAGGGTGGGTTTCGAAAGAGCAGAGTGTAGCAGCTTATCACAGAATCAATGAGCGTGGAAAAGACCTCTGAGATCATCGAGTCCAATCTATGACCGAACACCACCGTGTCAATTAGACCATGGCACCAAGTGCCACATTCAGTCTTTTCTTAAACCCCTCCAGGGACGGTGCCTCCACCACCTCCCCGAGCACCCCATTCCAGTATCTAATCACCCTCTGTGTGAAGAAATTCTTCCTAGTATTCAACCTAAACCTCCTAAATAGGACAAATATTACTCATAAAGTGAGAGTAGGAACACTGAGAAGTCGGTCTTGCCCAAGAGGCTCCCAGTGGGCTGTTCCTGAGGTGATTCCCACTCCCCCGCCTGCAGTTTGGCCTCTTGGGAAGGTTTTCACCAGGGAGCTCCTGGGAACTGCCTCTACATTTGCTGCTCTTGCAAATGAAACAAAGGATCTCTTACCTACAAACAGTAATGTTCAAGATTACAGGGTTTTCTGGCTCTCTAGATACCATTTTTGCCATTCTGTTATGCTGTGCCTTTCAAACGAAGGTTAGTTTTATGGCACCATAGCTGAACAGGAGAAGTTGCTGATGCTAAATGAACAGAAGCCTTACTACTTTTGGTCATTTGGTACCCAGAGAAGTGATTTCAATTAATAGAAAAAGCTCCTCCTTTCTCTGTCAGACACAGTCACCTCCCAGCTCTGCTCTGACACAGTGATGTGCCCTCTGGTCCGTAGCTGCTGCAGGACTGTGGCTGGGATGGAACTGGGCATTCACTGGCAAAGCAAGGAAATGAACATGTGAAAGAAGGATGACCAATAACTTCCGTAGATACTTCGCACAACAAGGGGAAAAGTGCCTCTAACCCATTCATGTTTACCTGATCTGTTGGGATATGCCTTTCCAAATATGTGTAGTGAAATATTCAGCCTGTTGCAAAAAGATATTCAGATAGTCTCTCCTGTATTTTCTAACAGAATTGGTTTTCTCTCACTGTTTTTCTTGTGAACAAGGGGAAAGCATAGTGACAATTAAATATGTGCGTCAGTTGTCCCACCACAGACATCAGACTAAAATAACACTGTATCTATAGAGTTTTGTGTGCTTAATTCCGTTTTGGCAACCCACATATGCCTTTTCCAGTTACATATACTTTTCTGAAACAAAATTAGTTGACATTTTCTGGTTTGTCTTTCCATTCAAAGGTGGGGAGAATTTTTCTAGAGAAGGTGGGAAACAAACTGAAGTAATCCCTTCTGAGCTATGTGTTTCCAAGGAAAAAGTATCCCTCCATATCCAACATATGTCTGGCCAAAAAATCATGCTGACAATCAGAATTGTAAATTGGTTTATTATCAGAAAAAAAGCCAAAGAGGAACAAACTGAGGTCAGTAGGTTTAAAATTATGAAAACTTGGTGTTTCCTTGAAGCTAAGGTGAAAGATTTGGACTGGTATCTTTTAAAGTTCATTTTATGAAATGAATTGGCTAAGAATATCTCAGTTAAGAACTGTTCATGTAAAAACATCATATTATGTTGTAGAAGCCTGAAAAGCTTGTAAGCTTTGCAGACCAAAAATGTAAGTTCGATAAGCACTGGAAAAGCTGCTGGTAAAGCTGATGGAACTTGAATAAATGCTCACAACTCCCTGGCTGTGACTTTTTTCATTATTTTTATCGATTCTATGGTCGTTAAGTCCTTCTTTTTGCCTTAAGTGTTGTAAAAATAAATGCTGCATGTAAAATGACTTGTAGAGCACAAACCCTCAGGCTTGTACGTGGTTAATTTCTCATGCTGTTGATGAGTGCATTGAAATCAAGAGGACTATTCCTACTCCACACATATGTGCAAAATACATGAGTTATTGTCAGATGATTATAGATATACCTAATGCCTTGCATAAAAATCACCAGTAAACTTTCCAACATTTTTTTCCTTTTAAATACTAGATTATTTAGTATATAATTTACATAAAAGGAGATAAACTGAGATAAGGTAGAAAATGCAAATCCACAAAAGTAAGGAATATCTACCACATAGGCATAAACTTAGCAAGGTAGGTTGTTGGCTTGTTTGGTTTTTTCCTGCTTTCATCTGCCCACTGTTTTCATCAGCTAGATGAAAACCCTTGAAGTGTGGTTATAAAACAACTGCAAAAATAGCACTGAAAGGCTGATTTTCAGTTATTTCTCTAGGCTTAATATCAACTGCTCTCACCACAGTAAGAAACATTCTAATTGTCATTCCTGCAAGTTCTCCTTGGCATCTGATAGGCAAGTGGTACTCTTTCTGGCTCATGAATCATCACTGCAAATAAATAGAATAGAATAGAAAATAGGTTGATTGTGTATGAGCCAAAATAGAATCCAAAATAGAAGAGCTTATGCTCTGCACCGTGTTGTCTCTGTGCTGGGCAGAGGAGTGTGTAGTAGTAGATGATAGAAATGATGCCAAATGAAAACAGATGTAACCAGAAACAAAGACAGCACTTTTACCCATTTTTTTCTCTGATGATTAAACCTATTTTGTCATAATTAGCAGAGATTATGTGTTATCTGTCACATGTCACACAGGCTCACCAGGGCACTAGCGAGGAGCTCAGAGTGCCAGAGCAGAGCGGGGCAGGGCAGGTGTGCTCTGTGCTCACAGCTGTGTCTCTGAGTGCGTTGCCTCTCTGTGTTCTCCATGAACAGGGAAAGGGGTCATGTCCAAGGTTTTAGTGATGGTGTTGCTGGTTTCCAATTCTCTTCTCTCCCTACCGTCTGTCCAAGCCCTTACAGAGTCCTTCTGCATCACTTCTTGTTAGAGAGGCTTGGCAAAGCAGGAGCTGATTTAGTGCTAAGGAAATAAACTACGGATCTGGGAAATAGCATGGAAAAGATTTCACAGAAGTAGAAACATTTATCACATAAACAGAAGTATATCCTGTAAAACAAACACATTTGAACACAATAAGATGTATCATCACACAAAAAGCCATATGGAGACATATCACATAAACAGGCGTATTTTTGACCTGCACCTTCTTTGTGCTGTTGTATCCAATGAGAGTTCCTTTTCTGATCTCATGGCTTTACAGCTACCTTGATTCCAGCAAGGTAAAAATACATTTATTGCTTTTGTATTGTACAGAACTTTCATCCAAATGACTAAATGGGCAGTCTTAGCAATGGATGCACATTTACAATGCATTGTGGGAAGTGTTTGAGTGGAATAGAAGTAAATACCAGGAAAGGTAAATGGAGAGAAAGTACACATTTTTGTAAGCATTGATAACATTGAACAGGCAATGAACCACTGAATCAATACCAAAATGGGACAGACTATAAAGCCACATTGAAGTAAGAATTGATCTTTTCATTTGTCTATATCAGCAGTGTCCTGTAGTTTTGAATTCCTGTTGCTGTACATACACATCTGCTAAAGATGGCAGGGGAAAAGGTTACCCTGTGCTTCCCTGTAGAAGCTGCCCATCTTCTGTGCTCCTAAGGTGAGGGAAGGTTTTGGTTAGTATAATAGTTTTCCTTGTAAGTTAGCAAGCAAGCTATTTTTTTCTTATGTACAACACAATGCCTGAAATGTTTATATCCAAAATACCCTGTAATTCCTAACTCTGGTTCAGCTCCAAAAATAGAAGCCTGATTATAGGTAAGGATTCTGGGGTTATCAGTACATTTCTGAGAGTTATTTTCATTGCTCTGGATCTGTGGAAGACTATAGAAGTGAGTCTGACGTAAGGTAGAGCACTATTTCATCTAAATTATATGCAAAGGCTTGACTATGAAATAATGGTTGCTAACAGGGGAAAAAAATGCAATTTTTTTAGTGCTTGTGGTCCAGTTAATTATCATTCTCCTACTTTTTTTATGTGTTCTCCACAGCTTATATTACAGCAATATTATATATTGATAAGGGATTGAACAGTTCCACTGTGTTCCTGGCTCTCAGTTGTGAAATCTCTGATCCTTTCCATCTCTTCAAATAGTGTTTAGCCATTTTTTTGACAGTTAGCAAGCACTGAGATTTCTACTATTAAAGTGTTTTCATCTGTCCACTGCATGTATGCATCCGTGACTTCAAAACCATGAGGTCTTTTCTGAAGAAAAACCACCGTGATTTATCTTGGAAGCAGACCCTGTAGTTCTGAAGAGCTACCACTGCGATCCTTTGTTCTGCCGTGAAACGGCAAAAATGTCTTCCCCCGAGCCCTAGGGATTTGCTGGTGTTCTGTGCCTGCAAGGGCTAAACTTTAATATTGAAAACGTTGAGAATTATTGTCTTTTAATGATGCTTATCGTCATTTGCGCTACTGCCTTTTTTTAACCCTAAATTTTAAAAGAGCGAGACGTGCTATTATTAAACTTGTGATGTCCTCTCTTTGTAGTGAAAAGCAGATGATGATGAAGATTGATGACGGCGCCTTGGCTGGAAAGGGATGAAATAGATGGAAGTTATTCACAGGCCTCCCCTGAGGGAACGAATTCCACCCCTCCAGCTCCAAGCGCGGGTGCAGCGCAGCCCTTGGGGGCTGATGGCGCTGCCGGGGGTGGTCGCGCCGGGCGGGTGTGGCCGCAGCCCGTGGCCGGAGCCCGTTCATGGAGCCCTGCCCGCCCCTCTCCGCGCACCCCCCGGGTGCCCCACAGCCCCCCGGGTGCCCCACAGCCCCCCGGGTGCCCCGCAGCCCCCCGGCCGCCCTGCCCGGCCCCGGCCAGGAGCTCAGGGCCGCGGGAGCCGCGCATGCTCCGCGCCCGGCCCGCCCCCGTCTCCTCCCCGCGCCCGGGGCCGGCGGCGGGGCCGGGCTCGACCATTTCTGCGGGCGCGGGGACGCGGGGCCGAGCCCCGGGCAGCGCCTTCCCCGAGCTTCAGCACCGCGGGCCGGACAGCGCCCGCCGGCCCGAGCGGCTCCCGCGGGGCCCCGCCGAGGGCCTCGATCCCCGCACGATGTTCCTCCGGCTGGCGGTCGCGGTGCAGGTGCTGTCGCTGCTGGCGAGCCGCGCTCACGCCTTCCCCAGACCCGCGGGCAAAGGTAAGCGCCTGCCCCTCAGAGCCCTCTCCGCGGGTCTGCGGGTGCGGGAAGTTCTGCGGCTGCGGGAAGTTCTGCGGGATGTAGAGGGTGGGGAGAGAAAACTTTCCTTCCACTCGGCGAAAAGCGGTGAGGTCCTAAAGCGACAAAATTCCCGACGCTGATCACTGAAGTTGCAATCTGATATTAAAGTGAAGGGATAAGTGCTGGTAGAGGGAAAAGCTCTGAATTTTTTCAGTCTTCTCCAAGCAGTGTTTTCATCCGTTCTACTGCGGCGTCTGCACGAGTCTTTCTTGCTCCCTGTCTCCCCCGCTATTCTGGATGGAAAAGATTTTTAATCTCTTGGTTGTTCCAATCCGATTATTGCTATTTTAGTCGATCTCTTCCAGCATTTTTCCCCAATTTTTGAGTTTTCTCATCAGAAAGAGGTTGCTGAGTCTGTATCTCTGTATCTTGCGCAGAACTTCTCCCTCTGCCCCAATCATGGTTTATTTAAATGTTTGACTTTTTAATTGTGTTCTCATTCTTCTAGGAACACTGATTTTTTTTTTTTTTCAAGAACCAGCAGTTGACATCCTATTTAAGACACTGTTTTTCATGGGAAAAAACTATAAATTAAGAAAAAATGTGCCTTTTGTAGTTGCGTGTATCATATAACTGAGTATATACATGTGTGTGTTTATTCTAGATAAAGCTATACACAACAGACAATTAAGTGTAGAAAGACCTTTGGAGGAACAGGTGAGTGAAAGAAAAAATATTTACAATGGTTTTTTTATTATGGTATTCTCATAATATTTTGAGCCTTTCAAGTACCAAATCCCTGAATATCCCTGAGTTAAAAGTAGATATGTCAGTAAAGTGATTGTTTATGGTGTTGAATACAAAATATAGTTTCAATATTTTTTAAAAACTGGAATATGGAGTTTCACTGTCCAGCATTCCAAAAGCAGGTTGTTAGCTCCAACAGCTCACAGGTGTGCCACCCCTTTGTGTTGACATCCTGTGGGAATATAGCATGAGCTTGGAATGAAGAAGGAAAATGTAACTGGCATTTGTCTTAAAATGGGAAGTTTGTTGTAGCTTCTTGTAGTGTGTGATTCTGATCAGAGATGGGGGGTACTGATAGAAAGTGCCAAGTGCTTAATCTTGTTCTCCTTATTCAGGCAAACTTCTTAATAAGAGTGAAAACCAGATACTAAGGCTTCTGCTGGTATTGATAAATTAGGGGATCACACATTTTATTTCTTCTGCCTGATCTTGTTTTATTTGTTTTATTTTTGTGTATTAGATTGCTGAAGCTGAGGCAGACAGGAATAGGAAAACAGCTCCCACAGGTAAAATATCTTTCCCGGTTTTATAACAATATTCATAATGGTATTCAAAGAGGTATAAGGTTTTATGTTATGTGTGCATTGATATATTTTCCAGAAAATAAGCCAGAGTTCAGGAATTATTCCTTTGCTGATGATCTGAACCTACTAAAATCAGTAGCAGAAAGAGAGAGGAGTGAAAAGGAGAGGGAGTCAATTAGAAGCTCTTTGTACGAACAGCAACTGGCCGTTGATGATGCAGACTCCACCAAGAACCGCAGGCTAGTGGATGACTATGACTCCACTAAAAGTGGGCTGGATTATAAATTCCAAGGTATTCTATGATCATCTTTCAGTGACTTCTAGGTTAGACTTCTCTTGCAAAGTGACTGCTGTCATGAATGTTGTACTCAGCACCAAACATGAGCTCTATGTGTTACTGGAGTGCAGTTTCAATTATTTCCAGTTGTGGAAGCTTGTTGTATTACAATTAGGTTTTGAAACGCTGTAAAAAATAATTGCTGTCGATTTTCAGTCTTCTTCCTTGGAGGAAAATCTAACTGTGTAATTTGTATTATGTGTTTTAGTAATTTAGATTTGATGGAAGGAAAATGGGACATATTTTTAAATGAAAATATATTTATTCTGGTTTGAGAGGAAGAAGCACCTTTACATGCAGCTAAATCACATATATTTATTCCAAATGTTATGTGCAGTGTTAGATAATTCTCCTCATCATAAAGCTAAAAGAAATTACCAAAGGCAAAAAAATACTTGCCTTTGCTACAGGAGTGTTTAATTGATTTGTAGTTTAAGTGAGTCCTCTGAGAGTTGTAAGCAGCATTTAACTCAGGATATTTTTAATTATATCAAAGTATCCTGATCACAGATCAAAGCTTACTCATCATGTTCTCTCTCCCATTGTCATTATGATATTATTTGCCATAAGTCATGATTACATAATTAAAAGTTTATTTTCTGAAATTTAGACAAGAAGATCATGTACAGTTTGTCATGATTTGATTTCTTCTAAGTGGCCACACAGTGAAATTAGATACCAGGAAGGCACATATAAGTGTATATGGGAGCAGTGCTCTCTCATCCTTACAATTTCTTCTATAAACAGGAGAGTATGCTCCTAATATTCATCTCTGCTCTTTTGACAGAGTCAGTCAGAAAGATATTTTTCAGATGTGGAAAATGGACACAAAGAACTTTTCACTGTGACTGATGTAGTGGCTTGCAAAGTGTGTATCAAAGTGTAGTCCTAGTGTGTCTAAAAGGTGCAGCTTTGTTCTGAAGAGAAGAAGATGTGGGCAGATATTTTTACAAGATGTTTAATCCAAATGAGTTAGGACAGTCAGCACACAGTTAAACTATAATCCTTTCAGATGATCCAGATGGCCTCCATCAATTAGATGGCACTCCTTTGACTGCTGAAGACATTGTTCAAAAAATTGCTGCAAGAATTTATGAGGAAAATGACAGAGGAGTGTTTGACAAGATTGTTTCAAAACTTCTAAATCTGGGGCTAGTAAGTATCTTGTTAATACTTCATTTAACAGTTTTATGGGTTGGTTTAATGCTCTTTTAAAAAACAATTTGGACAAACACTGTGTGTAATACTGACTTGAGTGAAAATGAATGGGATTCAGGCTCTAGGCAAATTTCTGTATTCATTTGGGCACACTGGTTTAGTTCTGCAATAACATTGTTGTTCCTGTGATGGCTTTGCAACAAAATAGGCCAAACTGCAGAATGTTTCTGATGCTGAGAAAACATTCACTGATTGTACTCCTCCCATGTCTGCCCTCATTTTTACTTTAACTTCTCTTCCGATTTTCACTGAATTCTTTTGTATTATTAATTTCTATATTTAAGGGGGAAAGGTCTGACCTCATTCCTATCCACCAACTAGTTAGTGTCATAAGCAAACATATAATGTTGCTGATTTGTTGAGGATATATTATGTTACTGATTTGTAGCAAGACTGGATTTGTCTCTGACCTCTGGATGTCTCAATAGCTTTAGCCATGGCCGTATGGGATTCTCGTATCTTAAAATATTGACCTGATGTTTTCTGCACTAGATTTTGCAGTTAGCTATTGCATGCTGCACCCCACTGATTACAGAGGGAGCTGTGGGACAGATGCATGATAGAGTTCTTTTTCAAGTGACAGCTGTTACAAAGCAAAGACAAAACATTTTGATGATGACATAGAAAGCTATTTGCTTTTTCCCCCTTCTATATCACTGTATGTAGATGTGTTGCAGAACTGTACATAGATGTGTTGCAGAACATACTTTATATACACAACACATACACACATGTAGGGGGGTATGACACACTTGCAGTTCAGTCTTTCAAGCTGCACTCCATTGTGTTAAGCCCTAAACAGATTTGTTTTCCTGTTGAAGGCTGTATCTGTGGATGAGTGGGTTTTATGTACACACAACGTATTTGGTGTGTGTTTCTGTGTGTGTATATATGTATGTGTGGGTGTGTTTATATAAATACAGACGTGTATATATGTCTATATATATACATGTATACACACACATTGGTGAAGACACCACGCCTAATTTGGTTGTGCTTTCTGTGAAGCAAACATATTTAAAGCAATCTATTTGCAAAGCTCGGGTTTCACATTGATGTTTCATCCAGGAGAAGTACAGTATTCTATGAGTACTCTGCACAAATATTTCAACAGATCACAGAGAGTCAGGCCTATACCCTGGAGGATGAAGTGGCAGAGGTTTTACAACAGCTAATTGCAAATGAAGCAAAGGAACGTGAGAAGGAGTCTGAAGACTTTGATTACACTGCAAGCAGAGCAGACAGTGATCCAAAGGAAAAGCAACAGGAAAGAATGGTAATTTCTTAGCTAATGATTTTGTCTTCCTTGCCAAATGGTACTAGTAAACCAATACACTGCTTTCTTTAGGGAATAATTAGTTCGATCTGGAAACTAAAGGTGTTCTTAAAGAAATTCTGTTAGACACAAAATGAACCATGAGTTACTTTGGAGTTTAAGCCAGATGTCAAATTAAAATAACTTTGAGAAAATAGTATAGTCTTCACCTTGCAATTAGGAACATGTTGGCATAAGGTTATGATACAATTTCTTGCTCTAGTAACTCTCTCACCAAAAGCAATGTGCTTATAGATATCTTTTTTTTTTTTATCTTTTGTGGAGACACCAAGCAAATCTTATCAGGATAGTATCATTAATGGAGAGATTGATGATACGCTGGATAACACATGGTCATCATCTAATGTCTTGGAAAGAAGAAATGAGCTGCCTTCTGAAGATAATTTTGAAGACCTCCAATACTTTCCAAATTTTTACGCACTATTAAAAAGTCTTAACTCAGGTGAGCTCATCATGTATTTACAGAATTACTTAGGAAAAAAGAAAATTAAGATTCTCTGTGTTTTCTCTTTTCCCTTCCCCACAACTTCCCTAGTTGCAAGACCACGTGCTTTGAAAATGTCCTCTAAGATGTATAGCAGAAACTAATTTGATTAGTAATTTTGATGGCAAAACACTGGGAGGAACAGCACTCAGAACTGCAAAGAGTGTGACCTAGGCAGCCCTTCCCATCTTGTGCTGTGTGATTCAGGAGTCCTGAATTCTTTTCATTTCTGTAAGAACATGGTGAAAAACTGGCAAACTGTTTTCTCCAGAGATCATTCCAGTAACATTGAGTCTTCCAAGCCAACAGAGGTACAAGTAAGCCACAGCAGAATCCTCGCAGTGATGGTACCAGTAAATGAGTCTGAGCCTTCCAGCCTTTTCACAAACCACAGGTTTGCTGTTTATTGCAGGGAAAGCTCTGCACGTCTCTTCCTATTCCGGTGCTGGACATCACTGCCTTCCAGTCATTGCAGGCAGGACTGTGGCACCTCACCACAGCCCCTTTGTCAGCACCCACTCTCTGCAGCCACACACACACACACACACACACTTATTTTTGTGTATATGTGTGTTTATTCTGTAGATTCCCTGTCCTGCAGGAGCCTTAATATTGCTTCAAGCTGTCCCCATAAACACCTGAGTGGAGAGCTAAAATGAAAAACCCAAGGGCATATTTTGCTCAAGTCCAACCCACAGACTTCATATTCTTCCTGTTCTTTTCATTTTCCCATGGTGGTTTTGCATGCTAGCTCTTCTTTTTCTGCTCATAAAGCAGAAAGGCATGTTGGGTTTAGCAGGTTATCAAGCAAATCGAGCCAGGTCCCACTGGCTGCACATCCCTGCCTTGCCTCCTGCTTTATGCTGTTCACCTGTCAGGTCGTATCAAGCTGGAGGAGAGGGATTCACTTGCATCCTACAGCTGTGTGTTAAATTGCAGGCAGCAGTAAAAAGCCTGTTCAGCAGCTCTCAGAGTGGCTGGCCCTCTGCCAAGGCTGGGAGTGTGTTTCTGGCTGTCCCTGAGTGACAGTGCCCCTGGCTGTGTTAGGTCCTTCTGTGATAACCTGGGGAGTGGGGATGGCTTTTGCAACTGGGGCAGTTTCATGCTGCTAATGCAGAAATAGCAGTAACATTGTTCAGCTAAACAAAGGTATTGTTCAGGTAAACACAGTGGTAAAAGAAAAGCTAAGAAGCAGGTAAGCATGGGCAAGAATAGATTTTTATAATAAAAAATAATTGTTTGTGTCACTTCCTGAAGTCATGATCCTGTCAACCATGTAATATTACATTGTCCCAGTATATGAGTCATGGACTTGTGCGTGGTAACAATCTCATTTGAAACACTTTATATTTTTATCATCGAACCCATGGGTCTTGTAGGAGAAAGGAACTCTGAACTCATACAGAGCCAGACTGCTCTACAAAATAGTTCACAAACAAATAAAAGAAAGATGAAAGAAACTGTAGAAAACTCTACCCTCTGATCAGCAATTTGGACTGTCAGGTCACTTCATCTCAGTGTGTTTAGTGTTCTTAGCTGTAAAATGGAATGCCACAGCCCTTCAAGACACAAAGCTGTAAAGAAGAACTAAAGCCTGAAGCTTTAAAGTATATTCAGCTGTGCTTTGCAGGAACAGTTTATATGTAAGTTCTCTTTGCTAATCCAGCACAGCATTTTCTCTTTCAGTGAGTAGGTCATTCTTTATGCAGAAAGTTTGCACAGTTTGCAGAACTGAGTTTTCCCAAGTTGCCTGAAGTCTCTGACTAATTTTGCTTCATCCCCTCACACAGAGACAGAGACAAAAGAGAAAGAGACCTTGATAACTATCATGAAAACCCTGATTGATTTTGTGAAGATGATGGTTAAATATGGAACAATCACACCAGAAGAAGGAGTTTCCTATCTGGGTGAGAATGCTATTTTCTTACTCTAACAACAGTGATAACTATCTTCTCATCTTCCTTGCTCTTATAAAACCTGCTTCAGCTTTGTTCATTCTAAATGTTTTAAAGCTGTACTTCTAAATGATTGATTATTCACTATAGCGTGTTTAATTCCATACTGCTTTAATACTTCCATCTAATGAAGGGAAGGTAATTTATGACATGTGCATTTAGAGAATTATTACATTTTCACACCTGTGAAGCACAATTGATTTCAAGGACTTTATGTCAGGGTAAGATCAGGGTTTTCTGTGTTCTGTTGAGGTGAATCAGGCACCTGCATTTTCCAAAGACAATCTAGCACTTCAGCTCCTTTAACCTGTCACATGTAAGTAGCCAGAATAGATGGCACCTAATGCTATGGTTGTCTACCAAGTAAAACTCCTTCCATCTATGAAAAGTGTTACATTTTGGCACAGGAGTAGATTTTGAAGCACTCTTTCCTGGATCCATTTTAGAGTCTGTGGCTATGTAGATATTGTAAAATCACTGTAATTTCCTGAAGAGGGAATTTGGAACAGCCTGGTTTTGTTCTTGTTTTGTTTTGTTTTGTGTCTCACACACCTTTCCTGGCTTTGACAAACTCTCCTCCATTTACTGTTGGTAGCCTTTCTATGTAAACAAGCAGACCTACAGAAGAAGGGCTCATCTGCATAAACTCTGCACAATCCTTTCATTTTTCTGAAGTGTTCCTGGTCTGGCTTAGTCTGAAAAGTTTTTGTTTACATCAGGGCAATTTCTCAGCTTCATAAATCAACTTGTCACAGAGATAGAACTGGCAATGATCTTTCATGGCTTCTCCAGGTTTGTCTGATCTGAGCCATTGCAGATACATGATTGATGGATGCAACTGTAACTGTACAGATTGATTACACTTACTTGGCTACAAAAGATCCAGTGCATCATGAGTCTCATTCAGTACATGATTGCACTTCCTCTCCAAAGAATTCATTATATCTCTGACCAAGACTATCCTTTTATTTTCCATGAGAAGTCCTTGAATTCTGGAATATTTGGACAACTTATGCTACAGTTCAGCTCTTTATTTCTCTGTCTTCCTGTGCATTTAAAAAAAGATGCACATAAAGAAATGGTGGATTTTAAGCACATTTTTTTGGTGTCATTCTACAAATGAAGATGGTATGACTTGAGCAGATATTGCCCTCACTGATAGTGTTGTGCCAAAACTTAATAGACCACATTCATCCCTGACACAAGGCCACTCAGATAATGGAATTACACTAGGGATGCATTTTTCCTACTAAAATTCAGAGCAGTTGTTCACATTGGCTTTACTTTGAGTAAATAAATACTGTAACCCTGGAAACAAATTGCCATGATGACATAGTACAGAAGGCAAGGATTAGGTTAAGAGTTTCAGAGGTCTGATTTAGTCTGGATTTAAAGTAAGACTATCAACTGATGTATCCAGACTCTGCCTTGCAAATAAGTGATTTATGCAGAGATGGATTTTTTGCTCTATCAAAGGAACTTACTGTAGTGGAAAAAGCTTTCTCATAGGTCTCAAGTTGCTTCTGTGGTATTCTTTTTTTAGACTTGCTGTTGAGAAATTACTTTAAAGCTGACCTTCATTTATTGAACTGATATTCTCAAATACTCAAGGAGAGCATCCACAGGAGCTTGTTAGCTTCTTGCACTATCCTTGAGCATGGCAGCAATTTTATTGCCACTCTTATTCAACTAAAAGTTATATACACTAAGTAATACTTGGATATGTACTGTATATCTTGGTGCAGGTTGGATCAGGGAATTGATGCCCAGCTGTGTTTACTTATAGCAGATAAGGGAATTAGTATGAATATGTCTCAGAGAGAAGAATTAATTTTAAAAATTGGTAGCTTTTTGTTGTTCTCTCAGTCCAAAATCAGTGAGCAGATTCCATGCTAGTTGATGGAAAATACCTACTGGGTCAATGCAGATGGGTTATATCCTCTTTCCATTTTATTAAAGTAGGAAACTGCCTAAGTTAATTTTTCCCACTCTGTGTCTGAAGCCGTGCATAAGCTATGTCTGTGAATTATACATTCAAAAAAATAAATCATTTATTGAATCAAGTCACAAGCCTTTTTGCCTTTCACAGGGGTGCAGAGACAGTGAATTTGAATGCATATACCAGTAACAGCTGGCTTGGGATTTGGAAACCACAGCATTATGTCATCATTGTATCTTACTCCAGGGGAAAGTATTTTCCTGCTGCAGTGACTGATGTTATTAGGTTTAGCTTAAAGTTACAAAGGATCTAGCTGCAGTGTGGTGCAGGAAAAGTGCCGATGCACACACATGAAAACACAAGGAATAAGTTCATTTTTTAATACGCATATTCAATATTACATAATAGATATTTAGAAGCTTTCCATATGCTAAATGTAATCTGTAACAGAACACTGGAAGCCAAAACCAACATATTCATATATATGAAAGACAAGGAAAAATAATGGCTACATTTCCCAGTATGTTTTCAGAAAGTATAACTCTGGAAGCATTAAAGAGAAACTCTAACGAGCTGATATAAAATGTGTGTTCAGCTGAAATGCGTCAAATTTGATAATTTCCCTGCTGTGGCAAAATGCCACTATCTTCCATCACTCTGTACTTTCTTAGCTATGAATGCTGTATCTTGATGTACAGGGAGCAAATTCTGCTGTGGAGTGAAAGTCTCATGTTTCTAGCCTGCTTAAAGGCTTTCAGAAATCTTTCTAGAAAACCCATCTGCCCTTTGAAGTTTGAAAGCTGCTTTAAAATCACTTTTGCAATTAAAAGAATGGACAAGCATTATCGGTACAGAAAGCATAAGGTAATAAGTCATGACACAGGATCACAGTTACACAGGTGGCCTGTGAATGAGATCCAACTGTGGTATCAGTTTACCCAACTTTGGGTTTGTTGTCAGGATCCAGCAAATGCTGCCCAAACAGCTGAACTCCCCTTGCTTGTCCCAGCCTGCTGGATGCACAGACTGTTATCACTGAACAGGCTGAGTGTTGGGAAGGACTTGAGACAGTTACTGAAATGATGTGGCTGTTGGCAAGGGTGCAGTGACAGAGTGGAATGGAAGAGTTGGAATAACTCCACACAGTGACCAGCAGAAAGCAGCGAGAGGCTTTCAGAGAAGTTATGACTGATTCAGCATAAAATGTTTCATTACTCATGGCATCCATATACTGTTTATGTTGCATAAATAGCTGATACTGATGCATAACTAGCTGATACTCCATGTAGAACTGAAAGGACTGTGTCCTTCACGGTGCTGAGTGCTTGAAGGGAAAAAGTGCTTTTTGAGCCAATAGCAAAACTCACTTTGGTTTCAGCAGAGCAGAATAAGCCATGCATTGCACAGATACTTGTACTGTCTGAGTATTAGGTTGTGAATAATATCCTACCTCATTTTCCTTCTGTCTATTGTGTAATGTCATGGTGGAGATTCACTCTGATAGCTTTTCTATCAGACCCATCTATCATAGACCAGATAAATATTAAGGAGAAGCTTCATCTACACCACACAAAGAAGAGGAATTTTTTGTGTGACAAGTGACTTTTCCTGTGTATGCCAGACTATATAGCTAGTTTTAAAATGAAAGCATATCAGCCCACTACCATCCTGGTAAAAGCTCTATTTTTAGTAATTATGTAAAGTAAACAATAGTTTTTAATGCATTTATTTTAATAATATTTTTGTCAGCTTAGAAACAGTAACAAATGTTTTCTGCCAGTTTGTTCAGATACATTTGAAAATCTTTTCCACTAATAAGATTTTTAGAACCATTCTAGGAAATACTTGTCATTAGTGGCTTGTGGACCATAACAAAAATAGAGTTTTCAGAGATGATGGAAAAATTCTTAAGAGGCACCAGTGTGTGTATATGAATTCTTTTTACACAGTCCATTAATTACGTTCTCCTGCTGTGCTCTGCTTACAAGAGTAGATTAGTAGCAAATTTACTCACTGCCAACCCAACCAAATGAAAGTTGTGTTATCCAATGAACTATTACCCTAGAAATGCAAATTAGTTACATGCACATTGTAATCTTGTGTGGAGTTCTCATTTATTGACTAGTACATGTAGCACAAACTTTTGCCATCAGTACTTCTCTATCTCACAGATACCATAGAAATCTTTGCCATGATACTGCATAAAATGTGTAATTTATCACATCTTATGATTGAGTTTGGTCATTTTGTTTTCAGTTTCTAAATCAGGGCTTCTGTATCTTCCACAACTGGAGAAAAGAAAGGGACAAAGGGCTGGGAAGAAAATTAAGTTTAAGAACTCTGTAGCCTTGCTCTCTCTTGAAGGGGATCACACTTTTCACCTCCTTGCAGTAAAGCATTTAGATTCCTGTAGCCACAGTGATCCACACACAGCCCACAGCAGACTGGCTGGGGAGCAAATCCCCCTTTATTTAGGAGGGAAACAGAGAAATGGCTCCAGCTGATCAGTGTGCAGTGTTTGAGTCACAACTGCCTTCCTCCATAGACCAAACCAAAGCCACCTCTCACACCTCCTCCCTTTGGCTCTGACTCACTGTCAGAATCCACACTGTCCCCCGTGACTGAGTAGGAGATTGTGTTGGTTAGAAATGAGCATGAACAGATGTCTCTGTTTACCTTTTCCACCCACATATCATTTGTTCTTCGTGGACAACAGGGAAGAAGAGCAAACTGCAGGGGACACAAGGAATAGAGAGATGGATGGGTCATTGGTGAACTCTGGCCGAGGTATATGAACACTCATCACTTTTGTCCTTTTCTAAAGAACTGTTGGGATATTGTTTTGCTATAATACTCTCTTTTAGGCAGACTGAGGCTGCATGAAAAAAGTCAGGTGAAACAGAAGAGGCAGAAAGTCTCCTATGTGGATTTTTAATATGTCCCTGCCTCTCCATGCTAAAGAATATGAAATAGCTGTTCTTCCTCTTGCATTCGTGCTGTGGTGTCTTCCACA